GGTGCCTAGCTGCTGCCGTGAATTCAGGTTATTGCATGAACTCAGGCTGTATGCTTACAGAGCGACTGAGAGGGAGAGAGCGGGGTTTTGTGCAGCAAACCTGGTGTAACAGACTTCCTTTATTTGCCAGAAAGTAAGTTAGCTATGTTAATACATTCTGTTTTTCTAAAGGCTATGAAATTGTTACTGGAAGAGTGGAAAAGTAGCGTTTCCTCTTCCTAAGGCTTTGGGCCACAAGTAATCAGATAAAGAAGATGGAAAAATCTTGGTTTAAAATTAATTAGTTTGTGCAAATTCTGTCTTTTTGCCAATTTACTTGCCTTTCGTGCAGAAGCAAGATGTACCTGATGAGATGCTCCTAGTCTGGCAGCAGCTCTCATGCTGTACTGACTTGTGCTCTGCCAGCTGGCTGGTTTGCCGTGGTGCAAGACAGTGGATCCCATTCTGACCTACTGCACAGGGTGTTCAGAAAAGCCCTGGGATCCTCGCCAGGAGCAAGCTGACCAGTGGTCTCTTGGCTCTGAAACAAGCAGTAGCTCTGCTCTATTCCTGAAGCCGCTATCGTGATTTTCCTTTAAAAGTATCCTTTATGAAGCAAGAAAATATCCAAGATGGTTCTTTACGTGGGGACCAGAATGTGCCTTCTAGGCAGCTCATTGAGCACGCAATGCTAGAGCATAAAAATAATGAATTGACAGGTTTTTGCCCCTTTCATATAACGTGTTAATCCACATCCTTTCTGGCATAGGAAGGACAATTGTTAGGTTAAACCTCATTTAGTATTGAAAAATAATTTCTTTCCCTTCACAGTGAAAGAAGCCATGTTTATGCCAAGTGCTAAGGTTAAAGAGGGGCATGGTAATTCCTGGGCCTTTGACATGGAAATAAATTTTTCCCTAAAGGTAAAAGCACAAGGCTTGCAGAGATGGCAATAACATCGAGCATGTGTTCTGCTGTGCCAAAGTCAGCAGGGGCTTTTAGTCTTCAGAAAATGCATCAAGTTATGAGAGAGCTTATTTATTTATGTATTTATTTATTATTTTAGCTCTGTTGACAAACTTGCAGCTAAGAAGAGTTTTAAAAAGTCAGTAAAATGCATCTGTCTCAGCAAAGCATGAATGTCAGACTTTACACATGTAATTGTTCCGAGATGTGGGGAGTCATTTAAGCACTCAGGATGGGAGTACATTAAAGCATGAAAGTTATTGGAAGTGAGGCTTAATTGACTGGTTTTTAAGCTTCTTCTCTATGAATGCGAGGCAGTAATTCACTATTTATGACAACGCTATTTGTATCAGTAGTTTTAAAAATTGAAGTGTGAGGACAGACCCACAGCTGCCAGAGGACACTACAGTGAGGGGCTAAGGCACTGTACATCACTGAGCATCTAGCCTGGTGAATTCCCAATTTAGGCAGGGTGAGGGCATATAAAATGTAGGTCACTTGCATGCGACTGGATGAAGAGCATGATCTGTAGATGGTTTTCCTTCTGAGACTCCCTGGGGCATACGTGAGAAATCTTTTCCATATTAAATGGCCTGCCACAACCCCACAGCATTTGAAGAGGGGTCAGGGCTGTGGTCCAGATGGCCCCTCTGAGCTGGGACTGGCCACTCACACCAGCTGCAGTAGTGCAAGGAGAGCAGTGGCATTGTCGGGGCCCCTCTCAAGCCCACCATTCTCTCAGACCATATCCTGAAAGCAAGATGACTTGTGAAGGGATTTTAATGATCCCTTTGAATACAATCTCTGTAGCTGTGGGGTGGCTGATGTCTTCTGACTCCTTATGCTCCCTGCCTCCATCCTACTCTGCTCCTGCCCCTTCCTAAGAAGGCAAAGTTGCATGAATTCTTTAGCACTGCTTTGTTGTGCTGAGTAGGGAAACCTGACAAACGAAATCTTTGTGGATTTGTTAAAAAACAACCAACCAACCTCTTAGAAGTATTAGAATTTAAATATGTTAATGTTAAACATAATTATGGCTCATTAATTGTTTTGTACATTTATAAGGAGGGGTGTGCTGTGCTCTCCAGACATCTGTACCATATAAAGAGAGGTGGCAGAGGGGAACATTTCCAAGTGCCAGATTGGCACCGTTTTCCTGTTCCCTATATGGCTGCTCTTTCTTTCCAGTTGCAGATACTCGTTCAGCTTAGTCAAATTGAGTCCTTATTTGAGAGATTCTGCACTGAAAGGCAAACACATCTATCTTTATAAACCTGTTTGTTTCCATAATTAGAAACTGAATCAACAGTGTATTGAAGATGACACATTTGCTCATTCCCTTTCTTCTCCCTATGGTGGCATAAAGCTGTGAAGCACAATAATTAGTAAAAAAGACTTTATTATTCAGGCAATGTATCTGAAGTGGGGGGAAAAAAAAAGAGCATGGGTTAAAAATATACTGTTGAAGACCATCAATGCCATCTCAAAGTGTATGATCAGTTCTAGGGATAGTGTCCCATCATTCAGTCCAGTTGGGCAGGGTGCTCTAAAACTGTCAAAGACAATTGAACTCACATGTCTCACCTAAAACTCAGGAAAATGTAGAATGCATGAAAAAAACTGACTTAAGTATCCTGCTAGGGCATCTTTAATGTTCTTCCCAAAACAGTGACACTCTTAGCTTCATTTACATGTCTGCTGTGTCCTGTGGCTGAGTGAAAATGGTACTTTTTTTTAGTAGACTTATCTTTTCTTCTGGGAGAGTCTGCCCAGTAGGTTTTGTAAGACAAAGGATGCACATAATGCTCTGCTCAGCACTCTGCCTTTGCAAAGCAATGCTAATCTGTTTTAAATTACAAAGGCCAGAAAATGCCTGACTGAAAAATATTGCTTTGTCTCCTGTGGACATGCTACAGAGCAAGTTACTGCTTATGGGCCAATATTGAAGATTAGGTAAAATGCAGCACTTTCCTCTGCCTCCTGAGGCTGATATTGAAGTCCAGGGAAGGGTTCCTCTGTACTGACTGACCACAAGCAAGCCTGTCAGGTTCTCCTGAGACTCTTTCAGGCTGCTTCATTTGCAAAAAGCTGCAGTCTAACCAGGAAATTAGAAGTATGTACTGCCTAGTAAATGTCACAGCTATAATGTGCAGGTGAAGTCACGCTGATGGCAAGCCAAGATTTGGGTTCTGTTCTGTTTCCACCTATTTCTGTACTACACCTAGCTATGGAAAAGATTTTGTGTTTACTCAAGCTTATAAAGTCAGTCCACATTAGGAAAAGTATATGACAGAGCAAGAATAGCCCACTTGCTAAAAACGAAGGTGACTGAGAGAACAGTGACTCTATCAAGGGTACTGATTTTCAGGTCCTTGATGAGAACCTGCTTTCCTTTTCTGTATTGTATCATCAGTGGTGATACTACATTGTTGTGGCAAATAAAGCTTCCTGGGATTGCAAAACTATGAACAGCCACTTACGCCGAGAACAAAGCTTTGGTCTTCATGTTTTGATATTCACCCTCCACCACGTTACATTTTGGGAATAGAGAGCTGTTTTGCACTATTTTTAGGTGGGCACAATTTCAGTAACAGAAATGTCTTCTTTTGAATTTAAAGTGCCGTTAGCTAGTGGTTGGTTTGATCGTTTTGTGCTTGCTACAAATCTCAGTGTGTTAAGGGATGAACAACAAGAACACATGGCTTTGCACAGGCATGATAGATAACCTGAGTATTATTTTTTGACTATAAAGGAAAAAAAGTGTATTGATCCTTATACAGCAAATGTAATACAAAGTAGCATAGTGCTTTATGCTGTGCATATTGTTTATTCAAGGTGATGCAGTCATAGATAAACAATTTGAAGAGATATTGACAATGTGATGTGGAAAGTTTCAGGAATATATTGAGTCAATTCCTAAAATATAGCTGCAGTTTAAGTACTGTGGTGGACAGGGTCATCAGATAGTTTCTTTTAAATTCTTGTTCTTTATGAAAAACTGTAAGTATCAGCACAATTCTTCGGTATTCTCTCACTTCCCTGCAGAGTTCATTTATGCAAGTAGTCTGAAAAGAAGAAATAAGTGTGGTGATCCCATTTTGCAGATGGGGAATTGATTATGGAGAAGTTAAGTGGCTTGCTGAAGATTTCATGGAAAGGGCTAGGCAGCCTTGAGCTTTTAGTGCAGATTTGATGATACCCAGTTTAGCATTGTAACCACAGGAGCATTATTCTGCATCACAGCAAAGACATTTCTGGATTTGTTGAAGAGATCTGGAAGAAAGGGAACTTAATAACACCAAGGGAATTCTGAGTGGTACTATAACAGAAATAGAACATAGCAATGCTAACAAGGAATTGTAGTGAACAGTGTTTTCAGTTAATAATAATAGTGAACAGCATATTTCAGCTCTATGTATTTTATTTTCTCATGCAATTGTCTTTAAACCAGAGATATGATAGCTGTTGATTTGAAACTTATCATATTTTAATCGGGAATGATTCTGCTCCAGTACTTCTACTGGTCTTTGATCTGCTGAGAAGAGAGCAGAAGTCATGGAACTTTTTACGAGAGATAGAAAAGAGTTGTCAAAGTTTAGAAATAAAAATGGAAAAATAATTCTTTTTGATAATACTTCTTTTCTCTTGAAATATTGGTAAAGAAAGTTCATGGATAATACTTGGGCATATTTTTCTGGAAATATAAGATAGTTATCTTGTTTGTTGCTACAGTAACATAATATGCACTAATGTAGCTATGGTACTTTATGATTGAGTGCTTTATTTTGTGACATGTTAGTATTAAACAGTGGCAGGTTTCTCATGTCAGTCATGTAAGCTAAATGATTACACCTGGAATTTTATTACTATATAATTTATAATCCTTCTACTTTTTGTTTGTTTCCTTTTAGACCTGACTATTTGAGAATTCTTAGTAGCTAAATCTAAAGGCATTATTTCCATGTGTGAAGGCTTCTGTTTTGCTGAAAAAACAGGATTTTACATCTTGTCGAGCTGATACTTTTTATTAACATCTAATTCTTTTCTTTCCACAGAAGAACTCAAGGAGAAACTAAAGAAGTATGTTGATGAAGTGAACGCCCACAAGCCTGGTTTCATCAAGGTTGTTAGACACAGCAAACAAGAGGGGCTGATTCGATCTCGAGTTAGCGGGTGGAGGGCAGCCACAGCACCAGTAGTTGCTCTCTTTGATGCCCATGTGGAATTCAATGTGGGGTGGTATGTGTCTCCTTGAACTTCTTTGTCAAAGGGTCCTTTTCCAAGCACTGTTTATAAATTCCTGAATGGAGTTTCTCTTGCATATAGAATGTTTATATTCTACAGTGTAAACAAAGAAGTGTCATTTTGGCACTGAGGTTGCTGCTCTGTGCAAAAGTAGCATGTAACTACAACCATGTATTTTAACTTGTTCAGTCTGGATTTAATATCTCTATTGCTTCTTGAGTCAAAAAGATGGTAAAAAGGCAGGAGCTTCTGTCCCTAGGATAGATCTATTATTAATTCTGATCTTGATGTCCTTGATAATGCTGAGAGCCTGAAGTTATCGTTATTTGGTAGCAAGGGTGTAAATGCTGTACGATATGCAGATACTCTTTTGCTCCATTCACCAGCTAACATCAAGGTTAATAATAGGGCACCCTAGATAAAATATTGCAATGTGTTATTTTGGGGCAGATCCTGCTCTGTCAAAACTCCATCTCAAAGCAAAGGGAGCTCTGCACGGGTAACAACTATAGACTTTGCACTTTCTCAAATATAGAGCATAAACCGCTATTTCCATCAGTGCTGTGCTTCTGCTGACCTAGTCTTAACATTTATTTTTTTCTTAGGGCAGAACCAGTGCTCACTAGAATAAAAGAAAACAGAAAAAGAGTAATTTCTCCATCGTTTGATAACATTAAGTATGATAATTTTGAAATAGAGGAGTATCCCCTCTCAGCTCAGGGGTTTGACTGGGAGCTGTGGTGCCGATATCTGAACCCTCCTAAGTCATGGTGGAAACTGGAGAACACAACTGCTCCAATAAGGTAACATGCAACTATGACCTAGATTAATGTGTCACTGGCAATGCTATCTAAATATGACAGATGGTGAATGGTCTCAGCTATGTAAGAGGTTTTACTGACTGTAATGTTAAATTAGATGTTGACTGTCCTTGAGCTGTCCTCTTCAGCTTTTGTCCTTGACCCCTACTCAGTCATCAAGAAAACTGTTGAATCCAGTAGATCTTTTGAAATAGGTTTTCTTGTTATTAGCATGGGGCAAAACACATAGCTGAAGTGAAATGGTAGTCTTGAATGTTCAGCCACACTGCTTTCTCCAAATGCCTTGTCTGCTGATTTTCTTCTCAAATACATTATATGGACAGAACTGATCTGACAGTTGGATTCTTTATAATATTGTCACATAGCTTTACAGCTGTGTTATGGCCTAAGAGTTAATGCTGGTCCACTGACAGTGTGTGAGCGAAGACTGTATTAGATCCTTGCTTTGGTACAGTCTAGCTCTGTACTTTCTTATCACATCTAGAGTATTGATGGGCTGGTACAGAACAATACCCTTGTCTCCGGGGGAGGAGTAAATGCCCCTGAATCCCCTCAGCAGCTCTGCTGTGATTCCAGGCCATTCTCCTGGCTATGCTTTCATACCAAGGAGGTCATTCGTACCTATACTCTAGCTCTCTGCAGAAAGTAAATGTGAAGACGATTTTCACCAGCTGCAGAGCAGAACCTTAAATAGCAGTGGCAGTGTGAGTGGGTCATCACTACCCATCAGTTTCCATGCAGTCAGTGTAAGAGGTATCTTTCATCCAGTAGTTCTGTTTTTCAGGCAGACAGCTTTTTTTGCGAGCTTTCACCTTAGACACTCTGAGCTGCCCTGACCCACATGCTGGTCGCTAGAACAGGACTCAGAATTGGAAAGTAGGAGATAAAAATTCACAGGTTTGCCACAGACATATGTAAAAAGGGGTGGTAATTTCCACATCACTAGAAATGGTTCTCAGTGTTAATGAACTCTGTGAACATTATGAAAATGCTTTGAAATATTCTACCAAGTCCTGCAGAGGCAAACCTTCTATATTAATTATGGTGACTTTTTAAACTAAAAGTGTATAAAGTCAGAATAAAGAGCAAATCTACTTTTCCTTGTTACCTCAGAACTCTGTTCTGTGTGAGGATTGTGGAATAAATGTGCTCTATGAATATTGGATGTATAAGTTTGTTCCCTAGCCCTTTCCCTGATACCTTTTATTCAGTGCAATACGCTGTATGCATGTGCTGGATAATTAAAATGATCAAAAAAACCCCACAAGTATTGATTGATGGCTTCTATCATGCCTCCAATATGCTTCTTGAATTATAACAAAGGGAAGCAGATACTCTGACAAATATAAAAACAACACCAAAAGCAAGAGTACTTTGTCATGAAAGCAGTATAATTTTGAAGTGATGTTAACTGCTATTTTCTTCATTAATAAATACATCAGAAACAGTCTTTCATTGTTATAAAGTGAGAACTATAGCACTTCAAGTTAGAGGCATAAATGTATAGATTTCTGTAGAACTGTACAATTTGTAATTAAGACATCCTATAATCTGTTTGAAAGCAGATGTCTACACTTACTGCAGCTTGAATGTTCCCAGTAAATGCAGGATTATTTCCCCTGTATTGCTAATTAATATCCCATTGTTACCAGAGTTCCTGACACCAGCATAACAATCAGAAAAAACGTTTTTATTTCTTGCCATTGTGGACTATAAGGTAGGAGAAAAATGAAGAGGCTAAATTCCTCTATATTCTCCTCCACTGCATCTCATAAAGGTAAAACTGTACTTTCTGTACCTGAACTCTTACCTTATTAAGATTGGCTCTGCATAATAAAAGTTGCCTAATTCAGGTCATGACATAAATAGAGCTTACTGATTTGGTGAAGATATGTGACTTGTTTAAATTTGGCTCAGGACAGTGGACTAGTGTTACAGTATGCTGGTAAGGGCAGACATTTCTTGATTCTGTATTGCAAAACCTGACCTGGAAATTCCTATTCAAGAAAGAACATCTTTTACATAAGCTTATAGACACTAGGTTTCTTAGCTGTAGATGAACCTAGCTTCTGGCTAAACACACAGGACTGTGCATCATTGGGTATCCTTGTTAATTATCACAGACAAGAAACTGGAGGATGTAGCAGGGACAGAGGCTAGAAAGGCTGATGCCTCAGAAACAAAGTTGGAGCTCCTGGATCTTGTACTGTTAGTGCTGAAATCCTGCCTGTTCTGGTGAATATGTATGTCCAGTCATTTTGAGTCTGTTTTCCTTCAGTGGTGCTTATTTCACCATAAAATCAAGAACATTAGAAGAAAAGATGGATAAATCTGTTTGACAAACACCTCCCTAAGAATCTGTCTTGGTGTACCATTTGACCCAGCAATTATAAATATAATCTATTTCTGAAAAACAAAATTGTTCATATTCTATCTGCTAATTTTGGTTGCTGCTGTATTATTCTTCCAGAAGTCCTGCATTGATTGGATGCTTCATAGTAGATAGAGAATATTTCCAAGAGATTGGCTTACTGGATGAAGGCATGGAAGTGTATGGAGGAGAAAATGTGGAGCTTGGAATCAGGGTAAGGAACATAACCAATCAGAACTGGTGGCTTACATTTAAAATACAACTTGCTTCTTATTGCAGGGAAAAAAAATTATGGATGATGGCATGCAAAGGAGATCCACAGCTCTGTAATAGTATAAATTGTTGGGTTTGAGGAGGGAAGGGGTGCAGGGGGAAAGGGCAAGAGCAAAATCTCCTGTCTTTTTAAATAATTTATCTGGGACGAGGATAGGAATACAGAATTTTGCATTATTCTTTCATTCAAGTAACAATGCTAGAATTTCAAGAAGGATAGTTTCTCACAGACGTAATGGGAAAAGCCTTTCTAGATTACGTGGTTTATTTAAATAAGGAAAATCACTATGAAGCAACTGGAATATACAGGCATTTATGCTGCCTTCCCTCTGGAAGGGAATTAGGATATTAATAAATTGTACAAGTGCACACATATTCTTCCATTGCACACTCTTTATCTGTTTACTAAATGCAGTACTGTGTGTGATTTGTGTACTTCTTTCTCTGCCTCTTCACAGCTTAATACCATTCTGAAAATACAGTGCTGTTCTGTTTGAGAATCTCTCAGGTTTTGATACAAGAGAAATTCTTAAATAGATAAGTGGTAAAGAAAAATTGTATTATGTGTGTTATAAAATTAAATCCTGAACTCTGCTATGAAGTGTTAGTGGAAGCTTGTATTTTGTGCTTTTTAGTTGCCAGAATAAAAGCATATTGTTGTTTAAGAGCAAAAAAAAAAAAAAATCTATTTTAAAAATAGAGAATTCTGCTGAGACTGTAAGATACAGGAAAAGATACTAATGTCTACTTCTGGGTTCCTGAAGTTCTTTTTGTACCCCCTGTCAGAGATAAAGTATTACTGCAGCAAAACTGAAGTGCAGGTGCCCTCTGAGTGACATTAGAGCACAGTTTTAAGGAAAGGGAGAGAGAAATGCAAGGCTGCTTCTTTTAATCATCCAATTCTGCTTACTGTTAGGGCCGGAGAGCCGCCTCCTGTTCGCAAAACCTGATTTTGTAGCTCAGTGTTACAACAAGTTGAAAATTAGTGTCACTTAGATTTTTATTTTCTTTTTTCAATCGAGAAACTATTGTCTCCTTGTGAGTGCGAGGAGTTTTATCTACTTTTGCATCACGCTGAGATATATGCTGTCCAGTCCACTGTACTTAGCATTGCAGATGTTGATTGGAAAGAGTACTTTGATAGACAAGACCAGAGAGACTCAAATCGCCGCATAATTGAAACTTCGAAGTAGACTGGATCACTGGAATAAGGCCCAACACTGTTCTGATTTCCTTATGGCTTTTTGTCTCCCCCCAGGGAAGAAGTGCCTGACCTACATAAAATACTTTCATCTGTAACAGATTGTAGTGTGCAAGGTAGCATAATGTATGCTGCCTCATCTGACTTTATCCTGACTTGGATCTGTGTTCCTGGCTATATCAAAACAAATTACTGCGCTGTAATGAACAGATTTTTCAGCAGTTTATTGCCAACTCTTCTCACAATTCTGAGCATATCCCAGATAATACCAGGATGAATATAAATGTAAAGTGCAATATTAGAACTTCTGGGAAGCACAACTTTATTTTTACAGATGTTAAGCTTGAAAAGCAAGCCCCTTCCATCAGCCACCTGCTTCTGGGGCACACCTGGGGCCATACACCACATCTTGGAAGAATACAGGTGGCTGCTTCAAGTGTGCTCTCACATTATTTGGGGGGCCGTGTCATTCGGGTGCATCCTAAGCACCTGTCCCTAGAGGTGCAAGTCCCAGGGGCTGCCTTTCGTTTCCTTAGGATAGGGCTACATGGAAAACTGTTCAGCAAACCAGATGGTCTGTTTCTGCTGTTGAACTACATTTTCATCTCTGCAGCACCAAATAGTCATCTCTAGATTACTTGTGTACCTTTCAACTGCAAGACCTATGATGAATCACTTAATAAAGATGGAAAGTGTTCTACAAAAACTACATTATAATTACAGTATCAGTGCAATAAATAATGTTTATGTTTTAAAATTATGCACTCCAATCCATGACTACAGATTGCTCACTGTGCTTCATCTTTCCTTGCCATTTTCCTTTTTTAAGAAGTATCTAGTTTCATCTAGTATTCTTCTGTGTAACATGCATTATCACGTAGGGAGGGAGAAGCAGACACCATGAGCCCAAACTGGCCTGGTATGCAGGCTAGCTGAAAGTAGGATGTTGTGTGTCAAATTCCCTGATATAATGGAGTTGATGCCTAGTGAAATTTCCTTAATTTTTTTCATGGCTTATGTTTCTAATTAAATTTCACATAGCCTGTTCCCATTCTTTGTAGTATTTAGGCACTGGAAGTCAGTTCTTTCATTGGGGAATTGTATGCACAAGCATGTAAGAGCAAGCATCTGCAGGAACAGGAGAGGTTACTTTCAACTACAGACAGCAAGAGTTAGGATCATTTGAGCTACCTGTTTATCTTAAGCACACTAAGCAGAGCATGGTCCCATGTCCTTAAATTACTAATTTTGTTCCAGAGGATGTAACACTACTGTGTATTACTACTATGTGACACTACTGTGTAACAGTGCTGTGAGCCAACCGATAAGCAGACCAGCTGCAGCATCATGCGATGACAGGACTGGGTAAATCGCTCTCTGTGCCCATGCACAGAGTCAAAGCCTTGTTCTCCATTTGCTTTGTTAGCAGCTGCATCTTCAGTGGTGTGAGGTAAGATTTCATCTCCCAGCTGAGATGCTTCCGAGAAGCAACTTCTAGCTATTTAGGATTTCTTTCCATTATAAAGGAGAAACCATTACTGTGTCTTCTAAGATCCTGAAATGGTTTGTTTTCAGCTCAACTGATGGGGTTTTCACTGTGCAAGGACAGGAATTAGACCCCAATGAAATGGAGACTTATCCCAGTATCCTCTCCTAGGAGGTATTTCTGTCACCCCATCATCTGCACAGCTATCTAGTTACTTGTGTTACATGAGTGCAAGAAAATCCCCAGCTATTGGAAACTGTATCTGAAGTATCCATTGTTGGTAAACAGTAACAAGCCACAGAAAATAGGTCTTTGTTTGGAGGATTATTCTCTTGCTTTGATGAATTAGTTTCTCTACTCAGCTCTATTCATCTCCAATTTGGTGTATTATTTTAACTTCTCCAAGATTTTTATCCTTGTCTGTGGCTTTGTAATAACTTTTAAAAAATATTTAAAATATATTATTAAATAAATATTAATAGAGTTCTGTTGCCTTGAGCTAGAAGCTGACAGGTGAGTACAGAATGTGAATGCAATTTGAATCTTGGAAGCAATGCTGAATTTTCTCCTTAAGCAAATATTTTCTTGCAAAGCTATTTCTTTGCCCCATAAGAATATTAAGGCAGGCTGGTTGATGCAAAACTCGACAGCATCCTTTTTGAGCAGTTCAGTCACTTTATCTGGGATTTTTGAAAGATTCGTTTACTGTGACCCAGAATCATATTCTGAAATTTACGTTAGGATGAGTAATGTGTCGTTTTGGTTTATGTTCAATCATTCCCAACTGAATGGACTTCAGTGTGCTTTTAAGGTACCGGATTGGATTTGGAGGGCAAACTGGAATCAGATTGCTTATCCATGAGACCAAATAGGAACGATGTTGGTAACTGCCTTATAGCAGAAACAAAATGTGAGTGCAAGGCTGGCATTTCTCACTGTTATTTTGGCTTTGCTTCTGGGTTGTACTTGCTGCAAATCCATTGCAATCAATTAGATCCTGCATTAGGTGGTTCCAGTCTAGTTTTCAGTAGGCTTCTTAAAGGCCCATTCCAATCCCTGCTGAAGTCAGCGTAAGACTTTCTATCAAGAGCAAGCCTGTAGCAATCATTTTGTCTTTTAAAGCAGCCTACATGTTTGGTAAAGCTTCTGAATATCTGTTACAACAAAGTTGTTTGCACCACTTTTAGGGATGCCTGAACAAATATTCCACGGTTTGCTTCAGGTCACAGACTGAGTCGTCATCAGAGTCAAGGGAATGTAAGCCCAGGCTTTGATGTAATTATGTATGTCACAAAGACTTTGCGGTTGCAGAGGAATTTGTGTTCAAAGGGATATAATGGCCCTGCTAAATGGCTAAGAGGAAATTTTGTTAGAAGGAAAGAGCTCTTTAAGGGAAAAGGAATGGATCTTTCTCCTGCTAAACAATAAATCAGGACTTTACATCAGCTGACACAGGAGGAAAATTGCATTTATAGTTCAGACTGAGTATGGCACACTACTTTTATACAGTATATTGCCATAGTGTAATTAGTTCTATTTGCAATAAAATGACTTTATAATAAATATATCCGCTTCATTTCTTCTTAGTCTGGTGGTTTGTCTATAGAACTTGTGCAAAGCTGATGCTTTTCTGTTGGTGTAGAACTAGAGGAATGCAGTTTTATGAACAGAGATACAGAAATGAGTTATTTGACCAGAAAATAGTCCCAGTGTTCTTTGGGGCATTGTCTGTACAACAGGATAGAGCAAGCAGGTGTGAAGTCTGTCATGCTTCTCCCTGATCTATTTTTTCCTAAATTCCAGAGGTGACTTCCTTGTTTGTTTGTTTGTTTTGGAGTGGGGTGTTGCATTTTTTGAAGGTGCTTTTGGCTTTAACTATCTGTCTTTTTTTCTTTTTCTTTTTTAACCTTCCCCCACACCAGCTTCTGGGATCATGATTCTTTATGAGTAGTTAACCCAGTCTCTCTCATATGGTGCATAGAAGCCGTTGCTGGCTTACATGTCCAGTCATTTCCAGTCCAAAGTATTTGTTTATGTCAGTTGTTTCTCATCTGAGATCTGTTTCTTATAATAAGCTCTTGCAAGAGGGTGGTTCTTGATAATCACAAGCAAGTGCAGATAGTTACATTTGCCCCCAAATCTCCATATTTATCTGTAAACATTTTGGACTTTTTCCTCTTTCTCTAGAAGTTTCCAGCAATTTTATCTGTCCATGTTTGAAATACAGGCTATGAATTCTATGAAATAGTGAATA